TGTTTTAAAGGTTATGATGGGATTAAGCTCCCTGTAGAGTATGTGTATTCTTTCTGGCAAGCTGATATTTAAAGCCAAAAAAGTCCAAAAGGGAACTTCCAACGATGTGTTTAAAGGCGCATTATTGGAAATTGCCGTTAGTAGTTTGTTTTTAATTTTTGCGAAGTGCATGCCAGCCATGATACACAGATGCAAACACTGGAGTGCTCGCCATTATTCGTTGGTTAAATGCACCGCATTGCATACATGTCGCTGCAATTGGCTGAATGAGAGCATCTACTGGAAAATGAATTTGGGTGCAATAAAGAAAGCAATCTGCAACTTTTGATTTGAAATTGAGATCCCAAAATATCGTTTTATCATAATATAGAGCTCAAACTTTGTAAGCTTACTGGTAGTTTTAAAGCAACATTATTTAGATTTTGAGCCCCTTTGCTGCTTCAACAAACAAAGTGGACAAATGAAGGACTGTACCACTAGCATTTATGTTTTTAAAATCTCCATGCATTCCCCTTTCACCCCCTTTTTTTTCTGTGGCAAAATGTTAATGTTCCGTGTGTGGTGGACCAATGTGCCACAGCGATGACATCTGAAGTGTACATGTATCTTCCTGTACATGTAGTAACAAAACTCAACTACATTGTACATGTAGCATTCTGCTTGAATGGCTATGTTATGTACGGTATCCTATTTCTTTCCTGCTACCAATGCTGGTTTTACTGTCACAAATCCTGGTCGTGTTTCTTACCATTTTAAATAGATTTGTCGTAATACATGTATTTTGGAAGACAAAACTGCATTGCTAGAAAATGTACATGTGCCATGCCAGCAGAGAGAGCAATCAGTACTGAATTATGTACAGTACATGTATGTACATGGACATACATGTACAGGTACACACAAAGGGGTCAGGGAACCATTCTTCACAAGAGGCATCTTAGTGCACCTGTTGCTGTTCCTGTTGGATTAATTGAAGACTCTGTTAAATTACATGTACTGTGGCTGTGGGGATTTTTTTTTTGATCAGCTTTGGCTTATGTTGTTTTGAGGGTGAAATGAAATTAACGGGGCATCAATTCACTCTCCATTTCAACTTAAATTTTGTAATTCATTCATCAAGCCTTAGTAGTTTTACAAAAAACACAACGAAAGATCCAATGGGAACTTGAAATGGTACTCTGGTACCTCTGTTTAGATGAGAATTTTTTTTATCCAGGTCCACATGTGAAACATGTTAAGGTCTTATGCGTCATTACTGCCCAACACTCCTCGTCTTTAGATGTACATGTACCTGTACAAATGTACATGCACTAGAGTAGCATTCAAAATTGATGTACAGTATGTGTAGTTGTTCATTGTACATGTGGTACGTGTAAAGCGCAGCAGCCATGCATTATTAATTCCTGTCGCACAAGTCCCGGTAGCACATGTCAATCAGTACACGTAGTTGCATCCTGGAGCACTGACAATGTGACTTTCTTCACCCTTAATTTCAATGCATATTTACTGGTACCGGTATATGTTGGTCAGTTACATGTACTGCAAGAATATTGAAAAGACAACAATCTGAGTCTGGAAAGTATTTCCAGTTTTGGTCGAAAGTTCTTTGAGAATGTTGTCCACTCTTAATCTAAGCTTTGTACATAATCAAGGATGTGGCATCTACGTGTAGATACTGTACATATAAAGCATCCTTGCCCCGCTTCTTTACGAGTCATCCCAATTCATCAAGATAATTTTTTTCAGGGCATTTAGTGAATTGCTTTAATGACCAGCTTGGCCAGCATCACCACCATTCTGACACACTCATGCTGTTTGGCATCCTTGGTGAGAAAACAATCACAAGAGGGCGCTATTCTGTCTAGACCACAGCAGAGAGGAAGTCCCTTTTTCCCAGGCAGGGGGGGCTTTCTGTACGTAGCCTGTGCATGTCAGCCGTCCCTAGGCAGTTGGCCTTGTGCCATTGTTGTGAGCTCATTCCTGCATCTGGACAGAAAAAAAAGTTGTTTGTCAAGCCAGATAGTGTTGAGAATACTGCAATTGGTGTAGCACATTTTTTTGGCAGTTACGATACATAGATACATGTACATGTGCTGGCTTAAAGGTACGTGTACCATTCATGTACATTTTTAAGGTCTTTATAGGTCTTTATTCAACCTGGCTGTTTTTGTGGGACGAGTGAACATGCAAATGTAAATTTGTACTGGAAAAGTTTCCTGACCATTCTGTTTCCCCTCTCTACACAGTAATTATCAAACCAGATCAAGTGAAGGATGATTTATGTTTACAAGAGGATAAACCTAAACTTAGTCTTTGAATTTACTTTACACAGGTACATGTACTTGATACAGTAATACATGTACATATGTTTAAGAATACATATAGATGTTTTGGTTTAAAGGTATAATTCTTGTGCTCTTGCTTATAACAGCACTTTATGTGTGTATCTTCAAGATCTTCATTTTCTCTTGGCATTTCATATCTGGGCATGCACGCGTGTGTGGATCTCAATTTTCCAGCATTGTCCAAATACTTTTTATAACTCCGAAAAAGTATAAACAAACCGGAAAACACCCTTTTCCCACCAAAGCAAATGTTACAGGCGCAGCACTTGGCTTGTTAGACTTTCTTATGTACATGTGGAAATCACTTCAGAAACATGTACTGGCATTTCATGTACACATGTACATGTATGCATACCGGTACATGTACATGTACATGTCCGCTTTACAAAGACTCCTACTGTACATATATGTTCCAGTATCAATGTTTTTATTTTGTCTACTTGAATTTTTTATTGAATTTAAAAAGTGATGAGAACTACCACCACTTACAGTACTGATAGACATCCATTCATTTTGGGGGGAAATATCTGTGTTCAACACAGAGAGCTTGAACAAAAAGAGCTTTAGCAGGTGTAAATTTTTTGGTAGGTCTGGAGGAAGAAACAGTATTTTGTGCCCGTCTGTTGGTAGGAGGTCTAGTCTAGGACATGACCCTGCGCGCACACAGCCGACCAAGGCCTGTTGGGCTGGTTTCAAGGTGGCTGGTATGCCGGGGAATAAACCCTGTTTACATGACCCCGGCACATTTACATGAAGTTCATCGCCACTGGGTTTTTTTCCCCTTCATTCTGGACTGCCTTAGTCGACCTGCTACACAACACGCATGCACACTTGTTCCATACCACAGAGGCGGTATCCTTTTGTTCCCCGGGAAGTTGTTTTATCTGATCTGGTATTGTCAGCTCCGTGGTGACCTCACCCTGCACTTACTTAGTACATGCAATCCTGGGGAAGAATTGTGTTGTTTTGCACTCTGCAGGCTCAGGAAGCTGTCGGTGGTGTTGCCCTTGCATCTTTTTCTAGCTCTACCATAGTTACTACATACATGTACATAATCCTTTGTGTTGTGAGTGAACCAGTCAAGTGACTGGCATTTGGTGTCACCACTACCAATGTGCCCAGGTTTTTTTTTTTTTATTATTAGTGCTGCGTCACAAGGTACAGCGTGTGTGTGTATGTGCGGTGGTGTAATCCAGTGATTGACATTGTTTGTTGTGTGGGTGTCATGCGGATTTTAAATGAGGGCCAGGAAGCTTGCAGATAGGAAAGCTGTTGGATTTCCATACCTGACTGGGTGTAATGGCGACTGCAACGATGAAGGGCTTGCACACTGACTGATGAGACTTATTACACCAGAGTTCATGGCCTCAGGTACCGGTACATGTTCATTACATGTATATTTGTTGTGGTGTACATTTTTGTTTGATTGGAGGTTTTAAATGTGTAGTGTCTGCAGTCAAAAACATGTACAGTGTGCATGTATGGTGCATCCTGTTAGGGGTGGGATGAAGTGCCATGTAGGCCTATTCATTGCTGCACGGATAAACTAGAGATTTTGTAATCCATTGTCCAGAGTTTTTCAAACTGAAGATTGGAAAATTTGATATTTCCTTCAAAAGGAAGCTCACATCATGCTGATGTAAGTTAATACATGTACATGGAGGGTATGTACATGTACATGTACCTCCGTGGTTAAAATGTCACATACATGTTATGTACCAGTATGAGTAGTGTCTGACACATGTACATGTTCATGCACACGTGGATCAATATCCATGCATGAGAAGCTTCTTATGTGTGACAAATTAACATGATAAAAACGCCAGGTTGATTGATGATACTGTAAGTGACCAAAACCTAGGATTCTCACAATCTCAACCCAATTTGAATGGGATTGACATACAGTGTCAAGGGTACTAGCACATGTGCAAGTATTTATCTGCTCTGCTCCTGATGTCATTTAAGTGGTACTCTGATGTCGAGTTTCAAATGATGCATTATTACTAATCATCGGTCTCTTTCCCCACAGTGCTGTGTACATGTGACTGCCAGGTTTTGTTACTTGTTTGGAAATTACATGCCAAATATTGTGGAATTTCGGTGAAGTTCTTTGAAAATGTCAATGCAGGTGCCCGCTTGACATCCTGTTCATGTGCAGTGTACAGTACATCCTGTTTGTTACTTTGTTTTAGAGTTGTTGGAAGTAAAAGCTTGATTGTGAAGCTTCATACATGTGCATTTTGCCACGAAATGAAAGGATGTACTTGAAGGTACATATACCAGTACATGTAGCAGTACTGCGGAGTTAGCCAATTCATTATTGTACAGTTTGTGACTGTGACCCACAGAAGTACCAGTAGCACATTTAGGCAGGTGTAAATGTTAGGCACCAGTGGTTGAAGCTACGACTGGCATTTTATTTTTGCAAAATCACAGCCTCCTATGGCACATGTATGACAGATGCCCTACGAATCCCAACATCTCCCAAATTGACCGTCGGCACCGTAGTCGGGAGGAAGTCTCATGTTTGCTGAAACAGGTCCGACTTTAAGTGTAATATGCGTCGCTTCTTTCATGGTAAATTACTAAGCGTAGTAACTATGTGTTTTAATCATTTGATCTAGTCAACAGTGCTTTCTTTTTTTTGTGTCACAGGGGTCAACAATGATGGCTGCAGTACCGATGTGCCACCCCGTCGCAAGGGGCGGCCGCCATCACGCAACCCTGGCCATCGTTACTCTCAGCCATGCCAGGTCTGCGGTAAGATCTTTGGCAGCTCCAGTGCCCTGGCCAAGCATAAGCTGATACACAGCAGTGAGCGGCGGCACAAGTGCGTGCTCTGTGCCAAGAGCTTCAAGCGACAGGACCACTTGTAAGTCTGAAATGTAGGGTTTTTTCTTGTTTTAGTAACTCCTCCTTTCCTGTCTTCTCTGAAAAACTGACGGGGCTGTCCCCCACAGCGTGGTGGACATAATTGGGTGGAACTGGACGGAGACTACACACAAGAATGTTAACACCACAAGTCTTTGTACTTGGTCAGTTTCCAGACAGGTGGTTTGTTGAAGGATATTGATGAAAAAGCTAAAGTGTCTTGAGTGATCTTCCACTGCCCAGGTTGCATCGTGTATTGGTGGCGTGGTGCCTGGGGCGTATGTTTGCAGCCTCTAACAAGAAATACACTTGAGACATCAAAGCAATAACCAGGAGCATGTTTAAGGTGACCCTCAAAAACGCAGAACCAGAAACAGTTACATCATCAAGGAAGGCAGATGACCTCGTTGATGAACATCAATTTCATTCAGTGTTTGGCATGTTTTCTACCAGTGCTGTTGTCCCTTTTCACATTCTTGAATAAAGTACGGGAACATCTTTTGATTTGCTACGTGTAACAGTGAATTTGGGCTGGTTATTTTCTGCCATTGTGAACTGGCGCTGAAGCGACTCCAACTTTTGGTTCTCATTTGGTAGAGAATGTGACCTAACCCAGTCATAACTTAAGTCATGACATTTCTCTGGTCAGGGTCATGGAAACATGCCCCTGCATCAAAGATATTGACTAATGTGAAGGACTTCCAACATACCGGTAGGGCTGGGTTGCTCAGTTAATAGATCATCAGGTTCCGGTAGAGTGTTGTGGAGGTCACAGGTTAGAATCTCACCCTGTCATGTCTTTGTTTATCTCTTTGTGACTTTGCAATTAAAGTAAACATGGCATAATGTATGAGGCAAACAGGGTACCTTTTTGTGGACTGAGCCAGTTACTGAGATAAATCTGAGATAAAGGATTTTTCAAAATTGGCAGATTTGGGCATTTTTTACGTATATGTACTTCCATCTTTGGAGTAAATTGCTCAGAGAAAACTCAAAAGAAAACCCTGCTCACTTTAATACTCAAAGTGCAGCACATGTAATTTTTCTTGCCAAAAATCGATGGACAATTGGATGTTCCAGACTGGCTGGATAATGCAAAGGGGAGGTAGGTCTGCAGATCAAACATGTCCCCTAAAAGTGCATGTTTTAAATGCATCAAATAGTGGCTGGCAAATTTATTTTCAATTTCTGTCTCTTCCTTGAACAGTGAAATACGATTCCATGTCTGATGCTTTTATTTTACTTTCTGTGCAGTTACATATTTGAAAGATAATTTGGCAGTCCCGTTTTAGGGATTTTGTAAATTAGATGATGTATGTTGCCTTTCATCGTTTAAACATTTTTGTAACCTGAACTAGCTCAGAATGCACGGGCAGGTGCATACTTTACAAATTGCTCTTTTCCCACAAACCATTAAGCCAGCCCAGGGACAAAATGAAACTAACTGGTGGAGGGAACATTCTTTAGGCTGGTTGTTTATTCTTCTGTTGACAAGCTGCCAATTGGACTGCACATTTTCTGTAGACCCTTCTAATGTGCGCCCATTGCCACACAGACAGCTGAACAAAAGAAAACTCTTTTCAGTTTGCACTGCAGGAATTCAGAATGCCCACTCCAGGAGTCACAGCTTCAAAATTATTTCAGCAAAAAATTGGCACAGCAAATCTGCTTTGCAAAATAAGCAGTTGGATAAACTTGTAGAGCCCTTTTTTCCCTTGTAATTGCAGTGCAAATTTACAGCACACAATTACAACATAAACATTGTCAACGAAATAGTAGAGACTGATTAGCAGCTGAAGGCCCATTCATGTAAGTTTCCTTTCCTGCACAAACTGTGCTATGGAGAAACAGGATTTTCCTTTGAATTGATTCGTTCGTCTTTTAATGTTTTATATCACTTGGAAAATGGCACAATTAATCAATAAGTTGGTCTAAGCTGAGTTTTAGTAAGCACCCCAGCAGATGGTGCCATCTTCTCGCCCGTAGGCATCGCAGGGACAGGAAGTTCCTTCCATCAACCAATTGATTGATTACACCACAATACGACATGAATATACATCACCCCAACGTGCGCACGCTTCTGAAGCAACAGCTCTTTCTTACCCTCTCGACGATTTTGCCTGGTGCCTTATAATTCAAGTACACACACATGTACATGTATCAGGTAAAATTCACTCATGTTGAAGTCAGGAAACAGTCTTTGAGCTGTGCTTGCCGGCCG